CTCCCTTCCCCATCGCCCTGTATCCTTCCGCTCCCGTCTCTCCCTTCCCCATCGCCCTGGATCCTTCCGCTTCTGTCTCTCCCTTCCCCATCGCCCTGTATCCTTCCGCTTCTGTCTCTCCTTGCCACTCTGCCCCGTATCCTTCCGCTCCCTCTCACCTTGCCCCTCCATCCCGTATCCTTCCACTCCCATCTGTGCCTGCCCCCCCACCTCGTCTCTTTCTGCTCCTGTCTCTCCCTTCCCCATCGCCCCATATCCTTCTGCTCCCATGTCTCCCTGCCCCATATCTTTCTGGTCCAGAACCTCCCATGCTTGTATTCCCCCTCCCACCTGTGTCCCTGTGCCCCCGGCTCTACCCCAGCCCACTCTATCTGTTTTGATCCTAGAGTTTCTCCTCCCTCCCCAGCCACGACTCCGTGTTATTGGTCGTATTCCATGCACCCTTGGGAAGCCGAGGCGGGAGCTGCCTGCTCCTCCTCCCCTTTCGGGCACTGAAGGATGGTCCCACGTGGCGTGTCCCAGCACTTCTGCCCCACCGAGACCTGGATGCTGTGTCCTGCACCCTCCTCCCCAGACTCCTACCCCTTTTGGCAGGGTCTGGTGCTCCTCCTCCAAGGGGACGATCTCCCCACTTGTGCACTTTCTCCCCTGGGTCAGGACCTCTCTGGACAGGGACCGCTCGGAGCCGGGACACGGGGCCGGCTGCTTCCTTCTGCCAGACCTGCACCCGAACGGCTGCGTCTAACCTGCGCCCTCCTGGGGCTCCCAGTCCAGGCCCCCCTGTGTGCTCTCCGTAGCAGCAGCCTGCCTCAGGGCAGCCCCCGTTCCTGGGGCAGATCGGTGGCCGTGGGCCTTCCATAGCTAGTGCAGGTCCCCTCCCCGCCCCACTTGCTCCCTGGGTGGGAATGGCCACAACTCCCTGGGCTCCCTGGCAGCACTCGGAGCTGATGGGTGAAGTCGGGTGCTGGACACGGAGCTGTGCCTTGCCAGCTGGGGTTAGCCAGGCGTTATCAGGCCACAGGCCTCAATATTGACACTAGATAATATTCAGCCTCCTGTTGGCCAGCTGGACTCCCCGGTCAATTCCCTGGGGCCATGGGCAGCCGCTGGGCGCATTTGGGCTGAGCCAAAGGCTGGGGAAACCTAGCGGTGCGGGGACTCCAGGCTCGGGCTTCCAGCCGGGCCATGTTGAGATGCTGGGGCTGGCCCCACGCCCGGCTTCGGACGTGGCTGGGGGAGAAGAGGGGCTTTGGGGGCAGACGTGAAGGTGGGGAGGGGAGAAACGGGAGAGTTGCACTGGGCCTTTGTCTGCCCAAAGGGGCGTCCGCTCCCCGGAACACAGGCTGCCAGGACTCGGGGAGGGGGCCGTGCACAGGTCTGGAAAGTCGGGGAGGGGGGAGCAGGTTTCTGTCCTTCCCAACCCACCTCTGTGCGCTCCACCCTGCTGCCAGCACTGAGCCCCGCACCCCTGAGAGCCCCAAAGCCAGGGCTGCTGCTAGCACCAAAGACCCCTAAGAGGGGAGACAGATGCGACCCACTCAGTGCGGCGCCGTGTCCCGTTTGTGGCAGCTGCTCCATGGGCAACCCCCACACCTGCGGGGTGTGGTGCGGCATCCCATGGCGCGACACTGAGAGACTCCCGTGTCGGAGAGCCCGCGGGCTTTTTGGCGCATACACTACGCTCCAGAGATCCCGGGTTCGATTCTGCCGGTCGGCGCTACACCCGGCTCGAGCCGGCTGGCGCCCCGCCGCATCGGGGGGGGCGGGTCAGTATCACCGGGTTCACCTCCTGCTGCGGCTAACCCAGCCGGGGGCAGGGGCTCACCTGCGCTAGAAGGACCCTGGGCTTCCCCAAGAAGGCAGACCCGTCTGTATTGTATATACCCGAGAGGCCAGTCGAACTGTGATGTGTTTTATACAAGCGGTAAGAAATGTTATTTTTTCATAGCCTTGCTTTTATTTTGTACAAAAAAAAAAAAAGAGGAACATCCCCCGAGGCTAACCCAGCCGGGGGCAGGGGCTCACCTGCGCTAGAAGGACCCTGGGCTTCCCCAAGAAGGCAGACCCGTCTGTATTGTATATACCCGAGAGGCCAGTCGAACTGTGATGTGTTTTATACAAGCGGTAAGAAATGTTATTTTTTCATAGCCTTGCTTTTATTTTGTACAAAAAAAAAAAAAGAGGAACATCCCCCGAGTGAGCCCTGTCGGAAGGCAGATTTCTCTCTATTTATAGCGACGGCCGAATCTTCTCGCTACAAATAAAGCTCGTTTCTTTCACACCTGGCTCCGTGGCTTTCCTTGGCTGGGGAAGGGCGGCCCGGGGAGGGGGGCTGG